CTCCCCATCAGGTGTCCGGCTCCGGCTCTTGGAGCTTGTCACAGAAAGAGTGAGATTGGATGGAGAATGAGGTACGTTACCTCCGGAGCGAACAGACGAGGCAAGAAGAGGAACAAACGAGGCAAGGCAATGAGCAAATCCGCCAAGGAAGGATGATAGGTGAAATGCACGAATGGATGCGGCAGATGATGCTGCGGGACCGACTTCCTCAACCATGAACTCTGTGAGTCCCCCTTCTACTAGTGCTTCAACAATGGGGACACTGTTGAATTCAAGTGTGGGGGTATTTATTTGTGTGTTTCTGTTTTTTTTATGTTAGTCATTTTATTTTGTTTTGTCGTGTGTTGTTGTTAGTTTGAAAGCATAATTGATGTCCCTTAGTGAAAACCCGCCGAATTCGAGTGATAAAAAAAATTGTTTCTGAGGAGATGTGTGTTTAAACTGTTCTGCGAGTAAGGTGTTGAGAAAGTATATAGAGTGCTTGGTAAAAAGAACCGTGAGGAGGAAATTGGAATATTTTGGAGAGGTAGGTAAAACGCGAACACCCTGAGTTTCCCGAATAAGGAACGAGTCCGACGTGTAGATTTGTACCATAGTACTTTGATCTAAGAAGTACCCCCTAGTAGTTTATCTTGACAGTCGGGCTTAATTTATAAGAATCGTGTGTGCGAGGTTGATCAGAAAAAAGAAAAAAAAATATTGAGAAAAGGCACAGAAAAAAAAGTTAAAATAAAGGCAATTAGACGACCAATCCTTCTAAGTTGGGTAACCCTTACCCGGTTATTCAACCCAACGGCGGTCGAACCTGAAAGCCATTCCAATATATATATATATATATATATATATATATATATATATATATATATATATATATATATATATATATATATATATATATATATATATATATATATATATATATATATATATATATATATATATATATATATATATATATATATATATATATATATATATATATATATATATAAAAATAATAACAGTGCCAGAAAAAATTGTTGATCAATCTTGTGCATGCGAGGAAAAAATCATAAAAGCCTTTAAGTGATTGTCCGAATGAAAAGGGTTGAAAATCGAAAAGAAGACTTAAGTACAAAGCATAGTCGGAGAGGTTACCGATAAGGAGATTGAGGTCTGTGGTTTTGCCGCGGTCTAGTGTTTGTGTGTTACCTATTTTGACGGAGTAGGCTGAGACTAATCCTCGTGGGACTTGGAACGAGAAACTCACGTATGAGTATCAGCACCGTAACTCGCAGTCCTGTTGACGGTTCATTTGTGCGGAAAAAAAAGCAAAGTTTTGTTTGGAGAGCTTTTTGCTTGAGGTCAAGCAAAAGTTCAAGTTCGGGGGAGTTTGATCAGTGGGTTTTAGTTGTGTTTTTCAAACTATGTTTGTCATTATTTTGCATTGTTTTTATCCGTTTTCGAATCTTTTGTTTATGTTGTCATAGTTATTTTCAGTCGCCTTTGTGTGAGTCTTATTTTGAGGTTTGTATCACTTTTGCCGCTGGTGCGTTTGATTTGGTTGTTTTTAGTGTGTTTTTGGCAGGAAGTGGTGACTCGATATCCATGCCGTTTCGGAGACGAAGAAAAGTCGAAAAAATGGAAATCAGAGGCCTGACACGGGTGCCCGTCTTGCACAACACGGCCTGTGTCAGGTGGGACACGAATGGAGGACATGACCAAGATGAAAAGAGAAAAATAGGAGAACAGAAGAGAAACACGGGTGCCCGTGTCACACAACACATCCCGTATTGCAGTCCCTGAAGAAGAAAAGCCACGCCCCTTGAGCAGCAGCCTGAGACAGCCACCCGTGTCCCATGACACGGCCCGTGTCAGGACCACTGATAATGAATTTGTCATTTTTTTCCTGTTTTGTGCTATCTGAGCTGTTTCGAAGGGCATTTTAGACATTGTATGATGTAATTTGAATTTAGATATATTAGCAGTATTTTGGCTAAGACTTTTTGGACTTTTGGATTGGGATCGAATTTTTACACTGAAGAAGGAGATTTCTGGAGAACGAAGGATCGATCAAAAGCGGAAGCCATTGATGATCCAAGTGAACCAATTTCTATTGTAATGATCTTTTCCCTTTTATTTTTAAGTACATTTGTTTTGATTAAGAACATGAGTGGCTAAACCCCCATTTGTTAGGGGGTGGTTCTAAATTGCGATGTATTGATCTTTGTTGTGATTATTCTATGAGATTTATGTTATTCACCTTATACCTTTTATTTTGCAACGATCTTTATGCTTATTCGTATTGGAAAATAGAATTTGATTTACGATTAGGTTTTGGTCTGGAAAGTCAACCTAATGCTTTTGCAAAATAACATTACGGTAGATATTGCCTAGGAATGGGGATATCCCGTAGCACATGTTTTATGTCAGAACTATTGCTTGATGCTTTTCATGGGCAACTGGGGAATTAGTGTGCATGAAATTCATCAAAGGGTTTTTCATTAAGGAATTAAGGAAAACTGATTTTGAAATTTGACTGATTAAGGTGGGAAACAATTATCTCAGAATAATTCTTTATGGTCTGTAATCGCAATTTATCCACGTCCCTAGCATTGTTCTTAGATAAATCTAAAAGTCATTATTTTACTAGTTTTATATCCTGCTACCAAACAAACCCAAGGCATTATTGTTCCTTTGAATACTAAAATTACTGTTAATTACTACGCAGTCCTCGAGATCGATACTTGGGACTTTTTCTCTTATTACTACATCGGTGAAAATAGTACACTTGCTATTTTTCCGATCAGCAACCGATTGCACAATTATATCAACTAGTTTTATACTAAAGAAAATGCAATGGTGACTTTGAAAGAAGCAGTTCAGTGCAGTGATCAATGATATTTGGACTCTAGATGTTCAACGCATATGACGGAGAGACAAGATTGATTTGTTACTATCAATCTGTTCCAAAAATGCACAACTGTCATTAACTATGCTTATGTGACTGTAACGCTCTGAAATGAATGTAATTTTACTGAGATGTAATTGTTGTAAATTAAACTTTATTTAATTAGAAAAAATCCCCTAATTTAAGCAGCATGTCTAAACTTAACCCTAATTTTCCCCTGTTACTTAAAGTAATATTCAAATAAATATCATCTCAGTAACGTTAAATCTACATAAACACCGTTATTGACCGCTGTGCATTTTTGGAAAGGAATCATTATAAAAGACCAAAGATAGACATTATTTAACTTAAAGGACTAACTTATAACGACAAAAATAAACCTAAAAGACCTACATATTATAACTATCTATCTTAAAGAAACTCTACTGTAGCTTTGCAAAAAAAATTATAATTTTTCATTTAAAAGGTATAGTTTAGTGGATTTGTAATTTTTCCGTCTATGAATTTTATTTTAGAAGATTTTTAATTTTCTCTTTAAAAAACTGCAATTGTATAAGGGAACTTTTAATTTTATTCTTTTAAAAAAATTAGAAGGTAAATAATAGAGGAGGGAGCTTTATTTGAATGTTTTTGATTATTTTTCTTCATTTAAGAGTGTGCTGAGTCTGGTGCGGAGACTTTTTTTTCTTCTACTTTTTCAACCACCTCTTCCTAGAAAATTTGTTGTTAATTATCAGTGGGTATTTAATGTCAAAGTGGTAGCCGTTGGACTGGTGGATCAATTAAAGGCTCGGTTTGTGGAAAAAGTCTATACTTGGAATTATGGTTATACATTTTCCTCATTGCAATTATGACATTAAATTCCGCCTCATTTTAGTTATGGTGCCATGAAAAGTTGGTCTTTATTTCATAATTATTTAAGTTGGATATCAAAAATCTTTCCACCTATGTTGACTTTGAATAGGTGGTTTATATACAACAATCCATAAATATAAATATAGTTTGTTGCTTAGATGAAGGACCATCTTTGTGGGCGATGAAAGAATTAACGCGTAGAGTTCAAAATTTATCATGGTGAAATAGTAGTTAAATAGGATTTTAGAAAATGTTTTTCAGAGATAAATGATATTTAAATAAGATCTCACTTTTTTTATAAAAGTTAATCTTCGAATAATTTATACAAAACCTCCAAAAATTTGAGAAAACTCTCTTCAGACGGATAGATTAGTATGAAAATTGCAAAAATAGGTCAGCTTGTACAAAGTTTGTCTGTTATATAATAGTTTTACGTAAACCAGATCACTTTGTCTTTCTTGAATATACAATTGAAGAAAGTATAAAAAAAATACAAAATTGTCTATTACAGATGGAATAAACTCATGGTTTTACTGATTTCTAATTTGAGTTTTTCTGATACTTTAATTTTTCTGTCAGATCTTGAGTTGGATTTACAGCACCAACAGTAATTGAGGTGAATGTTACATGATGTTTCCTGCAGTACAAGAGAGATGGAGCAAAGTTAGGTTCAAAACAAAAAAAGTTTCTATAATCTAATAACCGGACCACTAGGAAACAAATAGTGCAAACCTTCTTTAACTAAAGAAACATTTTTTTTACTAGTCTAACATATACTTTCACTTTTTCAAACCACAAAAAATGGATATATGTGCTGTTTCTTTTATACATCAATCTTATTCATATGTGACACAAACAACACTGTCATATTTATATCCTTCAAGATATAATTCTATAACAAATGGTTTACAATTAAAGGTCCACTCCAATTATAAAGTTATCAGACACAATAATTGACAAATACTGAGAAAAAGCAAAAGCTATCTTTATTGTTGTGATGAATTCATATCTTCAATTAATCTAAGCAAAAGTTGTGTCTTAAGCTCTTTTTGATGAAGTTAGCGTGTGAGCGTCCGATTCATTGGCAGCAATAATTGCAGGGTATAAGTCCCTCGATCATGACTTAAAAGATTCCAGTGATGACTAGTTTGGATCTTTTTTAGCCATGAAATAACCATTGCATAATTGATTTGATATATTCACGGTTTTATGAAACTGAAAGTCGAGCCATGTTTACCTGTGTGAGTGTGGTAGATTATTCTGTTTGTTGGCATTGTTTAATGGCACCTAACCTTTTGGCAAACATGGAAACCATTGGCTCTGAATTTCTCAATCTTGTAAAAGGCGTGACATGATTGGCATTATGCTTTGATATGTGATCACTATTTCCCTTCTCATTCTTTAGACCAATGGAAGAAGACTCTTTGTTGATACAACAATTATGCAGTTTTTTAGTCTCAATGAGCAACTCCTTATCACCAAATTGTTCTCTAGTCTCTTCAACCTTGCAGTTATTTGATGTGTTATTTTTCTGGTGTCCACGACTGTTGACAAAATCTATAGGCCTAATCTGAGCAAGAGCCGGAGATTTCACGTCATCCTGACTACTAGATTGTGAGTATCCTTTCATCATGTTTGAAATCAAGTTCATGAATGAGCTATCCCTTTCAACATGAGATTTAGAATATGATGAAGTTTCTTGAATTCGCATTTTGACTTTTTTACTCTCAATTATCACTTCTGGTTTACATCTCTTCCTACTTGCCAAAAACAACTCCTTACTATGATAGTTTTCGCAACTTAAATGAATGCCGTTCTTATTGTATGGCATCATCATTTCATTGACCTTGTGTTTGTTTTTATTTTGGACGGATTTTGAAACAAGAACTCTGCTTGATGCAGCAGAAGTAGCTGCTTCGCAGTTGAAAGATGATACTATATATGTTCCTAGAGCACCAGAACTTTTTTCTTCGATCACATGTTCGACTCTAGTATATGAGCCACCCTCTAATTCAACCACCTTGTTGTCAACACAAGTGTACACGCCTTCTTCGCAATGTTTCCTTGGTGAAGGTTTTCGTTCAAAGCTAGGTTTAGATTCGTTGTCTTGAGACCTTCTCTCGATATGACCTGAAGAAAATCACGTCGCAGATGATATTTCAGACATGAAAAAGACAATTAAATTGAAAGTGTCTTTTACTAGGATGCATTGTCGCATACAATGGCACGTAGAAAACTAGAAATCGATAATAGTTTAAGAAAATCAAAGTTATTGAATGTAACCACATGTGTCATCAGATACTTACATGTGTCACCGAACATGCATTTGAGATAGGATTTATTTTCCATAATGAGGAAAATTGATATAAAAGTTGTGTACAAATATCAATAGTTCTAAAATGTGTACCAAATCATGACAGTATCCTAAAATAGCAAAATCTGTTTTCCTTACATCTATAGGAGCCATAAGGGATGTAATCTTTACCTGTATCATGATGTTCATATGGTTTACATTCTGGAATGATGACAACTGAATCACTTGTCGGAGGCCTTATAGGAACATTCATCGAAGAAACATCAGGATCGGCACATATTCCAGTAAGAGGTTGAACAAAAACATCATCGGTAGGTTTATCATTGATAGAAGTTCCACAAGTAACACTTTGTAGCAGAGCAAGAACCATACTACTAGGTTCCACGTCGCGAAAAAGTGACGTATTTTTGTTCTTAAAACTCGAATCAACGCATTTAAGACCGAAACCTTTATCCGGAGACCAAACTATTTCAGATAAAGGGTCCTTGACAGAAATTGTTGTGTTTACCTTAGAAGCTGCATTTGCACCTGCACTTGACTCATTTTTGAAATTTCCCTTATGAAATTCACTAGAAAAATCCAACATGAGTTCTAAACCTGTCTTTGGTTTCATTTTCTTGCTTTATTTGAACACAACTTCAATATTCAGCAGCAGAAGTTTCTGAAATATAGTTACAATCAAGATTAGCCCAATTAGTTCCTTACCACAAAGTTTACTATCAATTTACTTGATTAAAATCTTATTTCAAGGCCAATAGGATAAGACAATAAATTAATGTGAAATTTAGTTAGATACATTAAGATCAAATTAATATTATCCTATTAATTAATTAATTAATGATGTGAAAAAACATATACATATACATAGAAAGATACAGTATCATTGCAGAAACATAAGCATACGGATTCATTCTATAATACACAATAATACATACATGCAATGATGATATAGGTTGTACATGAATTGTAATATACAAAGGCACTCGTACAAAAATGGAAAGAAGAAAAAAAGTACAAACCTCTTTGTTTGGTTTAGGAAACACAGAATGTGTTTGTTATGTGGATTAGAGAGAGAATAGATAGTCCAGTAGGAGCAATCTTAGAGGGTAAGGATATGCCACGTAGATCTATGTCATTCCACTAACCTCCATTGACATGGACATTACTTCATTATTGCTAGCTGTTATTCTTAACATTATTGATATTGATAAAAATTAAAGTTGAAATAATGGATTAAATCGACATACATGAAAAAGTGAAGTGTATTAACATGCATGAATATTATTTTATTTTATCTTGGGGGGAAATCCACAATCACTATCTATATAATACAAGAAAGGTCAGCAAACTAAATTGTGGACAAAATTGGTCAGCGAGGTAAATTTAGGGTAAAATTGGTCAGCGAGGTAAATTTAAGATACCATTTTCTTCATAACCAATAAGTTTTAATTGTTTTTATATTATTTTATGATTTTTTTTAATAAAAGATGGTAAAAATGTTAATTCAAATAATATGTTTGTTTTTTAATAAGTATGATTTTTATTTTTATTTTATATATTAATTAAGATTTCCTCATTTACATTACATAATAACTTGAGATAACAAATGACTATTGGGATAATTTTGTTATGTATACGAGAAGATAATTCAAAAGCATGACAAACATACCGGCGCCAAGCAAGCATGAGTTTAGCATCACAGACCACTCGAAGATGTGCTTCTGATTAACCACTGGACCAACACTCGCCTGTATTGGGCTTGGGACAGTCTGTCTCTCACCCACTTATAAAACGTGGGGTGTGACATGTCCTTGCGCACTAAAAGAATAGAAAGATCAATCAAGGGGAAAACCACATTCTCCATAATAATATGAGGGATAACGACTCCCACATCCCAAACTATTTAGAGAAAAGGGAATAATCATTCCTAGGGTCTAAAGATACAGACCTACGAGGTCTTTATAAGTACTTCAACTTTAGTATTGAAGGATAAATCATTATTCACCCCTAAAAACCACAGACATAGAGCTTCTCGTCACTTAATGTGAGCTAACTCTAACACCATCAACAACCTTAAAACATCACATATAACCCTTCAAATGCAAAGTTACTCTTATTATACTTTTTAGCAAGTACAGTTGGTGCCCACCATGAGCCTGGTAAAATTGACCTGAGCCACACTCATTATCATTCAACGATCAATTCCATGACCTTCTCCGGGAGAAAGGAGAAACAAGGCTCATATGGCGTCGTCAACACCATTGCATCAGGATTTTCTGGTGGTGGAGAGTCAAGTTCTTCCCATCAAAAGTATGCCAGTTAGGCTTTGACGGAGAAAATTATATTTATTGGTCCTAAAACACACTTGAAGAAGGATTCAGAGTCAAAAATATTTTCACCAATGAAGATGACACTGGCATCCTCCCTCACAACAATGATCACATGGTCATCACGGTGCAATACAATAATGAGGACATAAAGCGACTATTGATTGATCCCATAAGCTAAATAAATGTCTTGTTTTGGAATGCCTTTGAGAGGATTCAGCTTGATCGAGATGACATCTGAACATTTTAGGGCTCCTTGGTTGGTCTCTTAGGAGAGCATGTATAGATGAAAGACCACATCACACTCAAAACCACGTTTAGGGTGGATGCGAGTGCAAATACAATCAAGGTCAAATAGCTTGTAATAGATTCCTCTTTGTTCTACAACTTCATCATGGGGATCTCCATCCTCAACCTATTATGGGTTGTCATATTTATCCTGCTTTTGAGCATGAAGTATCTACTACCTAGCAGGTGAGTTGGGGTGGTCCATGGAGACTAAGAGGTCGCTCGAGAATGTTACCAAAGCATCCTGGAACTAAGTAGGGATGAGATCCTCAGAATCTCCATTCCATAGCTAAGCATGCCAAAAATAGATGCTGTAAATTTGGATCCTAGATTGGAAGAAGAGAATGTTGATTTACTCTCCTGGGTGCCCGCTAACATGTTAAGGATAAATATTAGGGCGGTCTTCCTTCGCCTTGCCATAGATTCCACCATAAAGTACGTATCTCAAAGGAAGCAAAAGGCTTCACAATTGTTGTTAAATACCTGCCCTATTTGGCCAACTTGGTTTTGGTCCAAAAATTGTCAAATAAATGACGCATGTGTGTCGACTTCACGTACTTAAATGTACCCTACCCTAAGAATCCATATCCACTTCCCAATATTGACTGCCTAATTGATTGATCCTTTGGTTACAAAATCTTGAATTTTATGGATGCCTACTCAGGCTACAATTATACAAAGATGGATTTTATGGATGCGTCCAAGACAACATTCATGTCCAACCATGGCAACTACCATTACATCCCTTTGGGATGAAGAACACATATGCCACATACCAAAGAGTAATAAATGTCAAATTATTAAAACATATAGGGTGAAAACTAGAAGTCTACATCAATGATATGATTGTGAAGACGTTAGAACGGAAAAGCCACGATGTATACCTGGAAGACATCTTTGAATCAATCATGGGGTATAACATACATTTAAATCCCGCTAAATGCTCTTTGTCGTCTAGGTGGGTAAGTTCCTGGGACTTATGTTAACCAAGAGAAAGATAAAGGCAAATCCAGAAAAGTGTCAAGCCATCATCAACACGAGGAGTGCATCCAGTATTAAAGAGGTTTAACTACTAACAAGGAAATTATCCACCCTATCCCATTTTATTTCTTGTGTAGGTGGAAAGACATTTCATTTCTTTTCCACTTTGAAATAAAAAGAGAAGTTCAAATGGACGAATGTGTCATGGTGAAAACCAAAAATCTCATTTGAAAAGTTTTGACAAAGCCAAATCTCGTAGGAAGGATGGTAGCTTGGGTAATTAAGTTATCATAGTACGGCATCCAATATACACCCATAAGAAGTATTAAGTCACAAATGCTAGTTGATTTCCTGTCGAAGTTTAGTTTTCCAATAGGCGAAGAGACTCCCCATGTGTGGATACTATTTATGAACGTTGCCTCAAACCTGAAAGGAAGTGGTGTGGGAATAGTAATAGAGGGACCAAGCGAACTCTTAAATGAGTAATTCTTAAAGTTTGAGTTTGAATCAAACAACAATAAGGCTGAGTATGAAGCCCTCGTCATCGACATTGTCATCACCCTTGAGATTGGCACTTCAAACCTTAAAGCCACGAGCGACTCGTAGTTGATGGGGAACTAGACCACCGAGGATTATCATGAAAATGAGCCTCAATTGATCAAATATCTGAAAAACGTACATGAATTTTCTAAATGTTTTAAAGCTTTTGAGATAACATATGCACCAAAGGAATAAAACGCTAAGGTTGATCTCCTCTCCAAGCTTGCCGCAACAAAAAGAGTAGGCCATAATTAGAGTGTAATTCAAGAAATTATGGCTACCCCTAGTATTAAGGCGGAGGAAACTAATACTCTTGGAGTCACCCAAACCTCCAGTTGGATGACGCCCATAATACGCTATCTAGTTTTAGACAAGGTGGAAGTAAAAAATATCCAAAAGTGCGCTTCAAAGTATACCATGATGTTTGGGAAAGTTTATAAGGTGGGAAAGTCCTCCCCCATGATGATATGTCTAAGGGAGAACAAAATGGCCTTGGTTCTCACTAGGGGTGGAAATAGTTTGGATCGACTAGGCTTTGCCAAACCTAAGCCTGACCTGCCAAAAAAACCCGAAGCCTAAGCCTGGCTTAAGACTGTCATATGCTTATATTTAGGTTTGAGGCTTGCCTTTTTGAAGGCTTGGTTAGCTTGTTAGCCTACATAAAAGTCTATTTATTTTTTACATATGTAAATAAAAATTCAAATAATGTTTAAATAGACTAACTAACTAAAAGACCAATGAGACTAAAACTTTGTTTGTATTAACTTATTTTAAATTACTTATTAGCATAAGTTTTGTGAGACTATTTATTTAAGAGAATTTATGAAAACAACTTATGACATTGTTCATAAGGTGTTTTCATCTTATTTTCATAAGTTCTTCAAGATAACAAGGTTTAATTTATGTATTTTAATTTAAACTATAAAATGTAACGCAACAATAATAAAAAAACTATTCATTATTTAAATAGGCTAGCCTGATAGGCTTAAAAAAAAATTTATGGCTCGATACCTAACATTTTTAACTAAATAGGATTATAAAAGAGCCTATGTATTTTCTAATTAAAAAAAACCTGACATGGCCTGAGGCTGTGTAGGATAGGCCGTATGCCCCTCTTAGTCGGCCTAACATATTTCCACCCATAGTCCTAACAGAGGTCCACCAAGAAACACGTGGTAGTCATATTGGTGAGCAAACACTTGCTAAAAAAATACTCAATATTTTCCCACTTTGATAAGAGATCATGAATAATTCTATTGGAAGTGTGACAAATGCTAGAAGCATGCCAACCTACATCATGCGCTAGCCTAGGTCCTTCACTTTGTCACGTCACCATGGCCATTTTACAAACGGGGTATGGATAAACTAGGCCCTTTACTCTAGTGCATGGCCAACTAAAGTTCATAACCGTCTGAGTATATTACTTCATGAAATGTATAGAAGTTGAACCCGTCTCCAAAATCACAGCAGAAAAGGT